AGCTCGTTCACACACGCGATTAGCGACAAGCCTCACGCGCATCAGGAGGATTGGTTCGTAGACTCGCTGGTAGTTTCGTGGAGCTTCGATGTGCTCTGACGCAGGTAATTATTGTTTCCTGCTGTATTTCAGCTTGCCGTTTCTATCCATTCGTCGCCGTTTTTGCCAGTTTCTGACTAGCGTATTCTTCTTCTGCAGGCAATGGAACATCGTCAGTCCGCTGTCAATGTCTGCTGTAGGCGGCGAACTTCCAGCCTCAAAGAGTATGTTCGCCGAATCAATGACACTCCACAGTACCACGACGTTCCTTCCCGAAAAAGGTAATGGCTTCAATGTTCAGCCACCTTTTATTCCATATTTCGATCAATTTCTGATTCGACGTTATTTCAATGTGTTTACAGGCAGTTCAGCATCCAAGGTCGACTTCAGCCACAGCTGACTAATCTGCGTCGTCCGCAGAAATCGCGACGGGTTCAAGCGCACCGGCCACTGAGAGCTCCGATTCCGATCGCGGTTCAAGGTACAATCGAGAACTCGCAATCGCTTTCCGTTCCTTCGCGCTTTTAATATGTATAAAACGTTTCAGGTATTCGAATCTCACAGCTGTGTATGCTGTTGACTTTTCAGGTCGGCAGCACATCAGCCATGCTGAGACGAACGCGTGATGTCAAAAACGCGCAGTGGAGGAGTCCATTAGGAGCGCGAAGCAGCATGCGCGCGTTGACAACGTGCATGGCTCCCAGGCTTCACCTGTTGCCTGCAGCGACGACCAATCATCAGCTAAGTGCTCACATCCCATGTCAGCCCTCGGTTCGTTTTCTTGTCATTCCGGTTCTCCCAAAACGGAACCACTGGTGGCAGCACACGAAACAGCCCACAGACCCTCCCCATTACTGGTAAAGCCCTCCCCCAGGTAAAGCCTTTTTCCAGGTAAAGCCCTCTGGTAAATACCGTAGTCTGTGGCTTGTGATTGTGCGCCCACCAGTGGCCGTCCTTTTGCTCTTCTTCAATTCACCACGTTTGCATGCATGCATCCCCTTACGCCGTGGTGCCTCCATCCCACTCACTGCCTTTCCTTGTGCACCCCTCGCGTCCCCCTCCCCTCCCCTCCCCTCCCCTCCCCCGCTTCCAGGCCTCATCGCGAGCAGCAGTGGCAGGCGGACGGACGTGGGCCAGCATCAGCGTTCTCCTCATGCCTCAAGCCACTGGCGGCAGCAGACAACACCTGGTGGTGCCGGCACATGCTTCACCTGCCCTCTGCACACAACCACCACATAATCAGCTAAGTGCTCGCTCCTCCTTGCACCCACCCTCGCTTCGTTTTTCTGTCATTTCTGTTTCACTCAAAACGGAACCACTGGTGGCAGCACACGAAACAGCCCACAGACCCTCCCCATTACTGGTAAAGCCCTCCCCCAGGTAAAGCCTTTTTCCAGGTAAAGCCCTCTGGTAAAGACCGTAGTCTGTGGCTTGTGAGTGTGCGCCCACCAGTGCCTCTCCCTTTGCTCGTCTAGAATTCTCCACGCATCGCCCTTCCGTGATGGTGACTCCTCCCACTCACTGCCTCTCCCTCGCCTCCCCTCCCTCCCCCTCCCCTTCCTCCTCCTCCCTTCCCCTCCCCTCGCAGGAGCTCAAGAGCAGCGCTGCTGGTCGCCTGAGACGCCATGCCATGCCTGCTGCCCATGCTGCTTCAAAAGCCTCCTGCTCTCACGCCATCAGCAAAGTACCCGTTCCTCCATGCCCTCACCCTTGCCTGCCACACCGTTTCCTTCATTTCATCTGCTGCTGCACCGTCCTCTTGAAACAATGCCACTGGTTGGGCACTGCTCGCATGCTACAGACCTCCCTGCTTCAGGTAGTTCTCAGGTGCAGGTAACCCTCTCAGGTGCAGGTACACCCCTCAGGTTCTTTTCCAGGTGCCCTTGGGTCTGTAGCTTGTGGCCGTGCCTCCACCAGTGGCTCCTCCCTCTTCTCTTGCGCTGGATTTGAAGTCATCACTACCAGTGGTTACCCAATTAACTTGCTCCCACCACCGTGCTCTCACTAGCTCTGTGTGTGCGCATTGCAGGCGGGGAGGGGTGTGGGGTCTACTCCGACGCTCCCTCACGCCTCTCCCCTGTGGCCGTGCAGGGACGCGCACGGGAAGGCGGGGAGGAGGGCTGCCATTGAGGGAGGCCGCTGGAGGTGCTGCAACTGCCTTGATCTCGCCCTCACACGTCAGTTAAGCAACTCTCCTCCATTCCCTCACGCTTGCCTGCTGCATCATACCTTGTACATTTTTTGCCGCCATTTCAATTTCTGGTTGTGCTTTCGCCCTTCCCTTTTAAATCATGCCACTGGTTGAGTGAAGTTCACAGGGCACAGACACCCTCAGTTCAGGTAACCCCCTCAGGTATGCAGGTAACCCTCTCAGGTGTGCAGGTAACCCTCTCAGGTGCAGGTTCCCTTGGTGTCTGTGGCGTTTGGCCTTGCCTCAACCCGTGGCCCTCCCTTGCTCTTCCAGATTTGGCACTTCCCGGTCTCTGGCTTGTGTTGTGCCCATGCCATGCACACTGACTACCTCTGCTTGTGTGCATTGCAGGTGGAGGGGAGGGGTGTGGGGTCTACACCGACGCTTCCCCACGCTCCTCCCCTGTGGCCGTGCAGGGACGCGCACGGGAAGGCCAGGAGGAGGGCTGCCATTGAGAGAGGCAGCTGGAGGTGCTGCAGCTGCCTTGATCTCGCCCTCACACGTCAGTTAAGTAACTCTCCTCCACTCCCTCACGCTTGCCTGCTGCATCATACCTTGTACATTTCTTGCCGCCATTTCAGTTTCTGGTTGTGCTTTCGCCCTTTTCCTTTTAAATCATGCCACTGGTTGAGTGAAGTTCACATGCCACAGACACCCTCACTTCAGGTAACCCCTCAGGTGTGCAGGTAACCCTCTCAGGTGCAGGTAACCCTCTCATGTGCAGGTTCCCTTGGTGTCTGTGGCGTTTGGCCTTGCCTCAACCCGTGGCCCTCACTTGCTCTTCCGGATTTGGCACTTCCCGGTCTCGGCTTGTGTTGTGCCCATGCCATGCACACTGACTACCTCTGCTTGTGTGCATTGCAGGTGGAGGGGAGGGGTGTGGGGTCTACACCGACGCTTCCTCACGCCCCTCCCCTGTGGCCGTTTAGGGACGCGCATGGGAAGGCGGGGAGGAGGGCTGCCGTGGAGGGAGGCAGCTTGTGGTGCTTCAGCTGCCTTGAGCTCGCCCTCACGCCACAAGTTAAGTGACCCTCCTCCATCCCCTCACCTTCTTTGCAGTCATCTCTTGCTCTTCTCTGCTGTCATTTCGTTTGCTGGTCGTACGCTCTTCCCTTTGAAACAATGCCACTAGTCGAGCACGGTTCACATGCCACAGAGCCCCACTCTTCAGGTATTCCTCAGGTGCAGTGCAGGTAACCCTCTCAGGTGCAGGTAACCCTCTCAGGTGCAGGTAACCCTCTCAGGTGCAGGTAACCCTCTCAGGTGCAGGTTCCCTTGGCGTCTGTGGCGTGTGGCCTTCCCTCAACCAGTGGCTCTCCCTTGCTCTTCCACATTTGGCAGTTTCCAGTCTCTGGCTTGTGTTGTGCCCATGCCATGTATACTGACCACCGCCGTGCGTGTGCATTGCAGGTGGAGGGGAGGGGCGTTGGGGTCAACACCGACACTTCCCCGCGCCTCTCCCCTGTGGCCGTGCAGGGACTCGTGGGGACGGGAAGGAGGCAGCACTGCAGCAGCTTCAACACGAGGGAGAGTATTGGGATGGGCTTGGCCTCTCAAGGTGAGCCTCTTACCTCTCTTTGCCGCTTGACTCGTTTTTTGCTACGTTGCCCTCCCACGCTCATTCGTTTGATTCGCCCTTGCCTGTTTCAAGGCATGCTCTCATTCTCCTCCTGTCCTTCCCATCCCGTCCGTTCTGCCCCCTTCCAGAGACAGCTGACGGGAGCACGGATGCAGCAGGGGAGGGGAAGGAAGGGGCAATGGCTCAGGAGGGGAGGGGGAGGGAGGCAACGCCGCAGCGAACTCAACGCAAGGGCTGGTGGTGCTTCAGCTGCCTTGTGCTCGCCCTCACGCCACCAGCTAAGTGACCTTCCTCCATGCCCTCACCCTCCTTGCATGTCATCTTTTGGGTTACCCTCTTTTGCTTGTTGATATTGCTCCTTTTCCTATGAAACAATACCACTTCTCGAGCGCAGTTCACCTGCCACAGACTCCCACACTTCAGGTATCTCCTCAGGTGCAGGTAACCCTCTCAGGTGCAGGTCTCCATCTAAGATGCAGGTAATCCTCTCAGGTGTGCAGTTCTCCCCCTCAGGTGCAAGTTCCCTTGGTGTCTGTGGCGTGTGGCCTTGCCTCAACCCGTGGCCCTCCCTTCTCTTCCAGTTTTGGCAGTTTTCAGGTTGTGACTTGTGCTTGCACCCATGCCATGCATACTGACCACTGCCGCCGTGTGTGCGCATTGCAGGTGGCGGGGAGGGGCGCTTGGGCCAACACCAGTTGTGGCAGCATCAGCAACGGGGAGCACTGATGCAGCAGGGGAGGGGAGGGGAAGGGGAGGGGAGGGGCCATGATTCAGGAGGTGAAGGGGAGGGAGGCAGCCCTGCAGCAGACTCAACACACCGGAGAGTAACGGGATGGGCTTGGCCTCTCAAGGTGAGCCTATTACCTCGCTTTCCAGCTGCACTCGTTTCTGCTCAGTTTCTCTCTCACGTTCTCCTCTCTGATTCGCCCTTGCCTGTTTCAAGGCATGCAGCAATGTTCATTGAAATTCAGTTTGTAAGACATTTTTGGTGAAGCATAAGTTGGATCATTTACACAGCAAAACGTCTGGTGCCTGTGTCTTTACGCATGTCAAACGCATGCTACATTCAAATTCTGTGTTTTCTTATTCTCAAGTATTGAAACATGTTTTGAACTTATGCTTTTCTTTATGTTCCTTTTGGTTCAGCACAACCGCAATGAGTTGGCCTATCCGCTGCGTGAAGCCGCACAAATGGAATTGACACGAGGCCAGGTAAGGGCCATGTAATGCACCAGTCGTGAGTGTCGCAGCACCAGTCCTGAGTGTCGCAGCACCAGTCCAGAATCTCGCAGCACCACCAGGCCATCTTTTGTCCATGCGATGACACTAACATATCGCATTCCGCTTCCTCCTTTCCCTCTGTTCCTACAGCAGTTGCAGCAGTCAACAAGTAGAAGAGAGATGGGCCATATTGTAAACCGGGAGAGGGGAGGCATGCGAGGAGAACCAGTGCCCGCACCAGCAGCATTAGCAGCAACATTAGTAGGAGCATCACCGACTTCCTCGGAAGCAACAGACGGTTCGAATGAGGAAGAAGACTATGCGTTGCGTGAACAGGCGGTGCGGTACATGGCGGATCGTCATGCAGCGCACCAACTCGTCTGGATACTTATGCTGTTCCTGCTCCTCATTGCCCTGCTCCTGCTGCTGCTGTTGCTGTTGCTGGTGGTGTGGCTGGGACGAGTGCGAGTGGAAGAAGGGACTCTTGCCAGTGTTGCAGCTGCCTGCTCGCCCCTTGCCCAGGCCGCTGCCGCTGCCTGTGCTGCCAGTGAGCGCACCAAGTGATGCAGAGAACAACGAGCGAGGCGTGAAGATGCTGCGCCGAGGGGTGAGAGGCGTGGAGGGGGTGAGAGGCGTGGAAGGAGTGAGAGAGGCCGTGGGGGTGGTTGGAGCGGGGGTAAGGGCGGAGGAAGAGGGGGAAGATAAGGCGGGGGAGTGAGGGGGTGAGAACGATGCTGTACGGGGCACGTGGATGACAAGAGAGCTGGCGGGGTGGAAGCGGAAGCTCTTCTGCTCCTCCGTGCCCTTGATGATAGCACCAATGCTGTCCCCTCTGCTGTCCCCTGTCTGCCCAATGCTGCGCTGATGCGCGGTTGGCGGTGCTGGTGATGCTCCTGCTCGTGCTCCGCGGCGCAATGTCCCCCTGGCGCTCTCTGCGAATAGTCCACAGACGCAGCGGACGCTCGGTTCCTGCTGCGGTTCACAATCTTCTCCGCGTACTCGTTACTAGGCTCCCCGTTTCGGTCGAAGTTCGGACCGACTCGCGGACTCAGATCGACGGTAACTGTTGGGTGAAACGCGCACGTATTGCTGCTGCTGGTGCGGGTGAAACCTCTCAGAGTGGCAAGATACGTGCGATGGCTGCTGCTGTGTCGTTGGCTGTTTCAGCGGACTAAGTCGCTCCCGCGCTCCCTTGTCACGACGCGAACTAGAATCCCCCTCCCGTTCCCTCTATCGCTCGTACCCGCCGCGTCTGGGACTATCCCCCTGCTGCCGCCTCGCGCCGTCTGCGCTCCTGCTCGCATCCTCCTTCCTCACCGGCCGATTCCGCGACTGCTTCCTGCACGAATCCGACGACCGCCTTTGACCGGCTTGACCGGCTGGACCAGCTCGACCTGGACGCGTTGTCGTCGGAACCGCTCCACGATTTGTCGCGCGGAGACTGCGTTGACTCCGGGGAACTCAACGACCGCCTTGACTCCGGCGAACGCGGCGGCCGCGTAGATTCGGGAAAACGCGGCGACCGCGTTTACTCAGGGGAACGCGGTGACCGCAAGTCTGCGCGACGGCGTGAGCTGCCGTTCGAGTCGCACCTCGAGCGCCGTCTATCGCTGCTTCGAGCGATTACTGCTGCCGTCATTGTCGCTGGCATCACTGGCTTCTTCGTTCTCGCTAAAGTCGTCGTCGGAGCAGCTATCAGTAGGTTCGTCCTTACTCTCGTACTCAGTACTATCTTCGTCCAGGCACTTCTCGCTTGGCCGTCGGTCATGGCGGTCCGCTCTGTCTACACCGTCCCTTCCACTGCCTGCTGCTCCCTTCTCCCGACCGTTGCCGCTACTGCTAGCGCCTCTGCCGCCAGTTCTCCCGCCACCTTTACCGGAACCTCTATTCGTTCGGCTGTGCTCATCCTCCGAGTAGCTGTCAGCTGACACGTCATCGTGACGCTCCACGGGAGATTCAACGAACTCCTTGGCCGTTCTGGCACGCTCGCGGCGCGTGCCAGATGTTCTGCGGGTTTGCGTGGAAGACTGGCGTGCCGCACCTGTTGCGTAGCCCATAAAGACTCTCTTTTTGGTTCCAGCACGCTTTCCGCTCTAAGCGCTTACAGCGAAAAAAGACGCGGGTAAGCCGATGAACGTGTGTCAAGTGGGAGGCGAGCGAGGTAAACACAGGGAATCATGAATAGGAGAAGAGAATGTGGAGGACCATGCCCGACGTGTACAATTGCACACATTCGTAACGATTCCCAGCCCAGGCAAACCACCACTCCACTCCAAGGCCCTGTTCGGCAGGCGCATCAGAATCTAGGTTCGGGAATGAGCTCTGGTTCGGGAGTGGTGCAACGTACCAGATAGTCAGGTTTGGGTCTGGTTCGTGTTTTGTCAATTTGTTGCAGGCTCGCGGAAGGAATGTGTCACGTGTCCCACAACTGTCCGGTCTGCCCCGAGGGTCGCTGGGTAAGGATTAAACATTCCCAGAGCAAAATCGATGTTACGTGTTCAACCCTAATTTGGTGAAAAGTTTGGCGAATCTTCAATGCTGCCCCGCATCAGTGATGCGCGCATGGATGCTACCTCTCCACGACGCACCATGCGCGCATGACTGATGCGTCAGTTTGTCAGGGGAGGTTGGTTCCAGGAACAAGGTTTTGGCCCCCAAACCGGGGGCCAAAAATACTGTTCGGCAGTCAGACTGCTTTGGTGCTCATGCGCCTATCCCGAACTATGATAGCTGATCAACCGCTTATCTCGGAAACATCTAGGGTGGTCGTTTTACTGTACCCCATTCCCGAGCCTGTGCTCATGCGCCTGCCGAACAAGGCCCAAGGCTTGCTTGGTTTGCTCAAGCAGCGGGGAATGGTGGCTGCAGGGGAAGGCTTGCTTGCTTGGCTTGGCTTGGGGCGACCTGTCACCTTACCTGGAAGAAGTTTTGTTGGCAGAACAAGGGGAAGGGGAGAAGGAGCCACCACCACCACCAGCTTGTGCGGGCAGCTTGTGGAACTGCCCCAAAATGGTACGGTACCGAAGGAGCTGAACCCAAGATTCACCTAGAAAACATGCCAGACCGATTCAAACCTGGCCAGATTAGGCCAAACCATACCATTTCCCGCCACTCAAGACAAACCAGGCCAAAGTGGGCCAAGTATAACATTTTCACCAAAACTGGCCCAGACCAGAGCCACGTCACACGATTCTCTCAAAATTTCACCGCTGTCGATACATGCTGCTGCAGGGCAAGTACGCGTGCTGCTGCACCACCAGCCCCAGCGTCAATATGTAGGGTAACCCAATTTTCCAATCGGTGGCGGCAGATCGAAATTGGAGGGTCGATCGCCATATGTAACAAGCCCTACCATAGATTCAGCTGGCCTGAGTCAGCAGGAGGGTCGGCCGAAACCGCTGGCCCACTGCATGACATCCGCTCTCGCTCCCCTCAAGAGCGATCCTCCCGTCGCGACGGGCTTGCTTCAGCAGAAAGGTAGGCCTGATTGCCACGCCACGAGCGCCTCAGAGCCCAGACCTTTGGCGCCAAGGTTGAACCCGGAGGTGATTTCGTAGGAACAATTTAGATCTACTAGATTTAGAATTTAGCTGCACCTAGTACGTCTGTAGTGTGGAGTCCCGCTCTTCCAGGCCCGCTCATCCCACTCTAGCTCATCTCGTTTTCGTTAAACCCGTTTTGCTTCGACACTCATCACGCTCTCACCTTCCAAGATGTTGCGCTCTCGTCCGCCCTTGAGAGTGGGGGATGTTGTGTGGGCCAAGCTGGGCGAAGAAAAATTTGCCGCATGGCCATGCAAGGTCATCTCGTTAGAAGGCCAACAACGAAATCAGCAGGGAGAAGAGTGCGGATATGTGGATGTGCAACCGTTGGGGCCTAATGTGAGACAAGAGAGGGATGAGATATTTAAAACAGAATCCCCTCCCTCTCCCTCCCTCCTCCCCTCCCCCCACCTCCCCCCCACCTCCTTCCCTTTCCCCTTCTCTCCTTGTTCCTCCTCCTTTTCTCTTTTTCCAGCCACCCTTCAATCTCAAAATTCTCACTCGTTTTGCCTCCCTGGCCCCTTATGTGGCAGAATGAAAAGATACGTGTCAGCTATAACGAGACTTATGAGTGGGTGGATTTCAATACAGCATTATTCCTAAAAGCCCAGACTGTAAGACTCTTTTTGTTAGACACTTGGTGCATGTGCTTTTTTTAATGTCAATTGCATATTACATCCTATTTCTGTGTTTTGTTGTACTTGTGTGCTTTGTACCAATGCATTTCTTGTTGGTCCAGGCCAAGCGAGGGGACATGCGCTTAGCAATGCTTGAAGCCGCAGAAATACAACGAAGCCAGGTAAGGGAGTGAAAACGAAGAGGGAAGTCAGAGTGTCACCACCTCGCACAGCCTCGCGCCGCGCCGACTCGCCACCACGTTGCACTACACCGCCGCGCACAGCCTAGCACTGCACCGCACCGCCTTGCACCACCACCACCTTGCACTGCTACGCACCTCGTCGCACCATCTCGCACAACGTCGCGTTGACCCGCTCCGCTGCTCATTGTGTCGCACCCCTCCGCTTGCAGGTCCAGCACCAGCAGTAGCACTACCAGCAGCACCGCCAGCGGAACCACCAGCAGCACTGCCAACAGCACCACTAGCAGCACCACCAGCACTAGAATCTAGCGCAAAAACGGGGGGTGCGACAGGGTGTAGGAAATTTCTGAAGGGTGTCAACAATCATACATAGGGAGGCAGCGAGAAGTGTAACAGGGATGAGGAGAGAAGTGGCAGAGGCAGAGTACCATGTCAAGTAAGACAGAGAGGTTCGGGATTTGATGGCTTGGAAACACTGTGAAGGAGCTCGAGTAAGGCGAGGATTGGGTGTGAACCTTCCACAGGCATGCAGAAGCTGTGAGGGAGCTGAGGAGTCGCCATGTGCCGTGTAAGCGAACCGCAGGAAGGAGAGTGCCAGTGGGAAGCACAATAACAAAGAGAAGAAGGGACAGATGAGGGTAGAGGAGAGGGTGCACAGTTGGTTGAGAGATCAATGTCGTGTACATAGGTGGGCTGGGAGAACCGTACGATGAAGTGCATGCATGTCAGATGGAATGTACCGGTATGTGTGCTCAGTGTGTGCAGGTCAGCAGCGGTGAAGTATGGTGCTGCATGATTCTGAGGCTCTAGGCAGAAGCTGTTTTCTGTACATAGGATCCTAGGCCTGTTGAGTCTTGTTTGTTTTCTTTGCTAGTGGAATTCGTGTTCTGCTACTGCTACCATATCTTCCTAGCAGGGGTGGCCCAATGTGAGGAGCCTGTCATTGAGTGTGGAGATTCTTCAAGAACTGCATAGACGAGAAGGGGGCAGGAAACAGGAAGTACGGTACATATCCAAGGAATTACGATATTATTGCTTGAAAAGAACCGATTGCTGAGTACGGTATGCTTTGAATGTGACACACTGTTAGTCAATCGTGTATTCTTTCTACAGCAGCAGACAAAACACACCTTTGGTCAGACAAACTGCAATAACATAACCAGATAACACAGCTACAGCACCTAATTCTCTTCTGAGGTCCCACATGGAAGGGATGGGAGTGACGTCTCCCAAAGAGCAAAGAGTGCTCCGATGAAGCCTGTCATGGCATGGCGTGCATCATGCTTCTCCTACTCCACTACTCCTACCGACCTATCACCAGCCTCTCAAGCAATGACGGCAGTTTCCCCTTAGCGCCTGCTGCCGCTGCCCTGTCACTCTTGCTGTCAGCACCACCTGCAGCTTCCTCAGAGCCAACCGCCGTTCCTCCTTGCTGCCCATGCGTGCCCTCCTTCCTAGCACTTCCCTGGCTGCCTGTGCCTCCTCTGGACGTCCCCTGCTCGCCCCCACTGCTGCTGTTCAGGCTGTTGCTCGTGGTGGTGGTGGTGCTGGTGGGGGCAGAGGTCACAGTGGAAGAGAGCCCTCCTGCACTGCTGCTGCTGCTGCTGCTACCTGTGCCCATGCCATCAGCACCCCCGCTGCCACTGCTTCTGCTTTTACTGCTGCCGCTGCTCCTACTGTTGACGGTGCTGCTGTTGCTGTTGGTGTTAGCACATGCCTCTTCTTCACTCCCACCCACCTCCCATTGCCGGTTGACACCTTCTCTGCTGCTCTTGCTGCTGCCCTGCTTCGCTATCTCCCTTGCGCTGCCGCCATCGGAAGCAGAGGATCGTAAAGAATCGCCAGGAGCAAAGTCAAATGGCATGGAGTGCCGGCGTGCTTGCCCGCTGCCACTGCCACTGCTGCTGCTCTTGTCCTCGCTATTAGCTGCCTCGTTGCGCTTTCTGTGCGCAGGTGGGTCGATGAGGGTGTATTTCTTCCTGCTTGTCGGGGTGGTCGGGAGGGCCATGGAGGGCGGGGAGGTGGGACTGGGACAGGATTTACTGTGAAGAGTGGCACCAGCAGCACTATGTGCAGCTGCAGCACTAGGGGTGCCAGCAACAGGAGCGGCCGCAGCCGCAGCAGCAAGAGAGGAGGCACGTGGTCTCGTTACTGGAGTGGCCGCATGGCTGATCGCTAAAGGGATGTCCAGGGCGATGGGATCATCAGCAATAGGGAGTTTGGGGTTGGCAACAGCCGTTCCAGTGCTGCCCTTCACATGTGCAGATTCTGTGCCACTGCTATGGCCGCTGCCACTGCCGGATTTCCCTGACTGCCCCAGCCGCCCCTTCGCCCGCCCTATTGCCGCAGAAGCTGTTTTCGGCCGCTGCTGCTCGCCCTGCCTCTGCCCCTTCCCCTTCGCCTTTGCCTTCCCCTTCCCCCGTTCCTCTTCCTCCTTCTGCTGCTGCTCCTTTAAATAGTGCTCGCTCCTTGGCTTCCTCCCCTCAATCCAGCTCCCTCCACCAAAGCCACGAGTACGACCTCCCCCAGCAGCACCTGCTGCACCAGCGCCAGTTGAACCTGCAGCAGCAGCAGAAGCGCTGACAGAAGTGGCAGCACTGGTGGCACTGCTGCTCCTGAACCAGCTGTCACCAGCCTTGCTGGGAGTGCCCCCTGAGGGGGTGCGGGGTGATGCAAGCAAGGAGGAGAAGGAAGAGAGGGCGGAGAGCGAGGGCCGGGTGGAGGGGCGAGAGAAGGCGATGCGAGGCGAGCAGGAAGGGGGGGCATTGGAGGCATGCAACTCGTCTGGATACATGTGCTCCTGCTCCTGCTCCTGCTCGTGCTGCTGCTGCTGCTGGTTCTCCTGCTGCTTCTGCTGCTGGTGGTGTGGCTGGGATGAGTGGGAGTGGAAAAAAGGACTCTTTCCGGTGTTGCTGCTGCCTGCTCGCCCCTTGCCCAGGCCACTGCCGGTGCTGCCAGTAAAAGCACCAAGCGACGCAGAGAGCAGCGAGCGAGGCGTGAAGATGCTGCGGCGTGGGGTGAGTGGGGTAGAAGGGGTGAGAGGCGTAGAGGGAGTGAGAGGGGCTGTGGGGGTGGTTGGAGCGGGAGTAAGGGCAGAGGAGGAGGGCGAGGAGGAGGAGGCGGGGGAGTGGGGGGGCGAGGGGGACGCGGTGCGGGGCACGTGGATGACAAGAGAGCTGGCGGGGTGGAAGCGGAAGCTCCTCTGCTCCTCCGTGCCCTTGATGGCAGCGCCTATGCTGTCCCCTCTGCTGTCCCCTCTGCTGTCCCCTCTGCTACCCTCCACTGCTGCACTGCCAGGGCTCCACGCAGTCAGCTTGAACGACCCCAGGTGCAGAGGTGAGAGCAGCGCTGCCTTGCGGCCCTGCCCCTCCCCCTCATTGCATGCGCTCACAGCGCCGTCCTCCTCCTCTGAACCACTATCACCATCCTCCCTGCTCGCCTCGCTGCTGCTGCCACTCCCCACGTGGCTGGTAGCAGGCTGGGATGCCTCCCGGCCGGCATCCCTTGCAGCGTCTGCTGATGCTGCATCCACCACAGTCTCTGCCCTTGCACTGGCCTCATCTGCCACGTCACCACCTGCCATGGCATCACCTGCGCTGTCACCACATGCCACATCACGATCTGCGTCGCCAGCACCTGCCACGTCACTATCATCCACAGTGGAAGCTTCTTTCTGCAAGCCCTGACGTGCTGTTGCTGCAGCGGATTCCTTCTCTCGCCCCTCCTCTGCTCGCACGGACCCTGCAATCGGCAGCGGCTCCATCTGCTGCCCCTGCTCCTGCTCGTGCTCCTCTTGCTCACCATTCTCCTGCTGTTGCGCCTGCTCCTTCTGCTCTGCTTCCATCTGCTGGCCAGTCAGCTGATCATGTGGTGCGTCCCCACTGGCGTCATCACTTGCAGCATCGCATGCATCATTTGCTTCCACCAGCCCCACCAGCAGCACCTCGCCTTCCACAGGCACCATGCCATACACCTGCACCTCTCTGCCCTCCTCACCCACCTCCCCCTCCTCCCCCTCCTCATCCTCCCCCTCACGCACCTCATCCGCCGCCTCATCCTCCTTCCCCTCCTCCCACTCATCCACCTCCTTCTCCCCGTTTTCATCCTGCTCCTCATCATCTCCCCTCTCCTCCCCATCACCAGATGGCAGTGCATCCCCAACATCTTGCACCCACCCCTGCTCTCCACATGCCTGCACCACCGTGCTGCCTTGCAGATGCGCACCTCCATGCGCATCGTCATCAGCAGCCACAACGGCAGCACCAGCAGCAGCACCGGCAACAGCAGTGCTGTTCGAATGATCAAGCAGCTCCTCAAAGTGTGTAGCTGCCTGCGCGTGCTGCTGCGAGTCAGTGCCGTCGCCACCATTGCCACCATCATCACAAGTGCCAGCTGTCCCGTTTTGGCATGCAGTGCCGGGCGCAGGGGGAGGTGTGGCATGGATGGGTGCTGCAGCAGAAGTGTGTATGAGGGGATGTGCCACATCAAGGGGCGCATGCAGGGCAGCATGCATGGGCGCGTGCGGATGGGCATGCAGGTCCAGACTCAAGTCTGAGGAGGACGCACAGCTGCTGGAACCCGTGTGGCATGGCATGGCCTCAGCCGCAGCAGCAGCAGTAACACCAGCAGCAGTAGGGGTGGGAGGCAGGGAGTGGTCCAGAGGTGAGGCCAGGGGGGCATGGGCATGTGAGAGCACGGAGTCTGACCCACTGCTGCTCTTCCTCCGCTTCTCCTTTTTCCTCCCTCGCCTCTCTCCCGCTTCCTTCCCACCCACCTCCCTCTCTGCCTTGACACCACCGCCAGCCTCACAAGATTCGTCCCCATGCTCACTCCCCTGCTTCTGCTTCCCTTTCTCCTCCCTGTGCTTCCCCTTCTTTTCCCTATGCTCCCCGTCTTTCTTCTTCCCATGACCCTTCCTCTCACCATGCTCCCCTTGCTTCTCCTCGTGGCTTCCCTTCTCTCCTACACTCTCTCCCTTCGTTCGCCCCTCTTTCCCTTTCTTCCCCTCTTTCTTCCCCCCATGCTTCCACGTGTCCACTTCACCCTCCCCAATCCCCCCCCCATGCTTTTGCTTCTCCTCCTTACTGTGCCGCTTCTCCCTCCGCTGCTTCTCCCCCTTCTTGTCCCGTTCCCTCTTCCCACTCTCACCCTCCTCCTCCTCCGCCTTACCCAAGTTCCTCTGTTCCCGTCCCCTGTCCCCGCTCTCTTCCTTCCCTTCAATCTTGTTTCCCTCAAGAATCGCATGCTCCTGCGCTCCACCCTTCACTTGCATCCCATGCACCACTGCACCCATCTCAACCGCTTCACACACTGCTACACCACTTCCCACCACCTCCACAGCTGTCGCCCCCTCGTGCTTCTCTCTGTGCCTTCCATGCCGTTTCTCCACCCCCTTCGGGTTCTTCTCCACTCCTCGCGGGCTCTTCTTAGACCTCTTTGGACTCTTCACCGCTGCTGCACCCTTTGGGCTCTTAGATGTCTTTCCTGCTTTCCGCGGGCTCTTGTCTGGGTGCTTCGGGGTCAGAACCTCCTGCTCCTTCCCTTCCCCATGCTCAACTGCATGTCCTTTCTCACGGCCCTTCTCATGCCTGCCGCTCTCATGCCTGCCGCTCTCGTGCCTGCCGCTCTCATGCCTGCTGCTCTCCTTGCTTCCCCACCTCTCATGTCCCGTTGTGTGCTCCTCATCATGTCTCCTCTCCGTGCATGCGCCTGCACTCCTGCCCACCCCCGCATGCAGACCATCAGACCCCTTCGCCAGCTTCTTATGCCGTACCACGTGCTCTCCACTCTCCTCCCCTTCTGCAATCACCCTCTCAACCCCCACCTCTTCCGCTTCCTCCTTGCCCCCATCCCCAGCAGTCCCCTCTTCCTTCTCTCCCTTCTCTTCCTCCGCTCCCTCCTCATGTGCCTTCCTCCTCTGCCCTCCCTTCTTACCCACCTCTCTCTCCTTCCCCTTCTTTCCCCTCTCCCCCCCTGCACTCCTCTCCCGCTGCCGCTCCTCTCTCCTGCTGCCACCTGCGCCCTCGCCCTCTCCCTCGTCCGCACTCAAATGCACAACACTCACATCGCTCTCCCCGCTCCCGCTCGCTCTCCTGCGCCGAACCACATTGGCACTCGCCCTCCCACTCCCACCTACACTGCCGCTCGACCTCCCACTCCCACCCAAACTCCCGCTCGACCGCCCACTCCCATGCTCCTCACTGCTGCGCCCACTGCCCGCCCCTCCACCCCTTCCTCCCGCACCCACACTGCGTGCGTCCAGGGCCCCACCCGCCTCACACCCCGCCCTGCCCATTGGCTGCTGCGCCACTGGCGTAGCAGGGGCAGAGTCAATAGCAGGGGAAAGGTGGGACGCAGAGGACGGGTGGGCAGCAAAGGACGGATAGGCAGCAGGGTGGGGGTGGGGGACAGGCGCGTGGGCTGAACGGGCGGCTGCATATGTGCTGTGTTGATCAGGCGCCCTTGCTCCTGCTGCCTTGTGCAGTGCCGGCTGAGGGGAGGACGGGCGCTGCATTGGGGTCACTGAGGGGCGCTCCTGAGGGGCAGTGGAGGAGCGCTGTAATGGAGCGGTTGAGGGGCGCTCAGATGCTCGTGCCCCTGCCCGCCTCACACCACTCCCCCCACTGGTTATGGGAGTGGGGGATGAGGGGCGCAGGCGTAGTGAGGGGGAAGATGGGCGCAGTGAGGGGGACGAGGGGCGGAGTGAGGGGGACGAGGGGCGGAGTGAGGGGGAAGAGGGGCGCAGTGAGGGGGAAGAGGGGCGTAGTAAGGGGGAAGAGGGGCGTAGTGAGGGGGAAGAGGGGCGGAGTGAGGGGGAAGTGGGGCGCAGTGAGGGGGAAGAGGGGCGAAGTGAGGGGGACGAGGGGCGCAGGGCGGGAGAAGAGGGGCGTGGTGCAAGGGCAGAGGGGCGCAGTGTCGAAGTAGGACCCCCAGGTGCAGCAATGTGGACACCGGAGGCAGCAGCGGCGGCAGCGGAGAGAGCAGAGGGCGGCAGGCTGAGAGTCTTCACGAGGCCTCGTGGTCGACCGGGCTGGCGGTGGTGGTGATGGTGCGGGGACTGCTGCTCATGGTGGTGCTGCGCCGATTGCTGCTCATGGGGGTGCTGTGGGGACTGCGGTAGTTGGTGCGGGGACTGGAGCTGTTGACGCTGTGAGCTAGAGCGCGATGGGTCCAAGAGACGGGAGGCAGCAGGAGCACCATGAGAGTGAGGCACAGCAAGGGCAGCAGGATGAGGCACAGCAAGGGCAGCAGGATGAGGCACACTGGAGCTGCGGGACAACAGCCGTCTGCTGCCTGCACCTGCACCCACAACCACCCGCCCCTCTCTCCCAGACCCCCCTGCATGCACCAACTCCTGCCCTGCCACGCCCTGCTGCACGCCTCCCTGCCGATGCCCCCTCTGCACCTCACACTGCTCCTTCATCCTTTCCTTCTCCTCCTTCTCCTTCTCCTTATCTCTCTCCTCATCCTTCCCCATCTGCTTCGTTTCCCTCTGCTCATGCGCCGTCCTGTGCCCCTGCGTCTCATACTGTGCATGTCCCTGAGTCTGGGACCGCGCCTCCCCCCTCACTGCGTGGCCCATCTCCGTCTCTTCCCCACGTGCCTCATACACCCACATCGGTTGCCCCGCCTGCTTCTGCCATCCTGATTTCCACAGCAAATCACGTCCCCCTTCACTGCCCCCACCACCGCCCCCATCACTGCTTCCCTTCCCTGCTTCCGCATCCCTTGCTGTGCTCTGCCCGTCCCTCTCCCCTCCTCCGCCCACACCCTCCTCCTTCCTCCCTCTCACCTCTCTGTTGTCCTCGCCCCCACCACAGTCACTCTCACCTCTTGTTCCCTCACTGATTCTCCCCGCCTCCCGCTCCTCACTGTGACATCTCACCTCTATTTCCTCACCTCCTCTCACGTGCTCGTGACTCGATTTCGAATCATCTCCCAGACTCCTCCTCATCTCACACATATCTTGCTTCCCTTCATCCTTCTTCTCCTTCTCCCTTTCCTGCCCCATCTCTTCCGCCCTTTCCTCGCCCTTCCTCTCCACCCCATCTCTCCACCCTATCCTCTCCCCATTCCCCTCACTCTTCCGCTCTGTGTTCCTCTCTCCCTTGGCCACCTCCTCCCCCTTGCCCTCCACCCTCCGTTCCACCTCACTCCGCCCTCTCCTCCCCTCCCCATCCGGCATCCTCCCCTCGCTTGCCACACTCCCCTCGCTCTCCTCGCCTTCCTCCTCACCCTCTTCCACAACAGGCGTCGCCCCACCTGCCCCCCATCGCTGTCGGAACGCACGCTCCCGCAGCCGGCTGCCCTGCACGCCCCTCAGGGCGTACCGCGCCCGCCTCTCCGCCCTCGCCTCCCCCGCGCCCCCCGCTCCCCTCTCACCCGCCTCCGCCCCACTCCCCACTGTCAAGCTGCTCTGCTGCTGTCCCCCCACACCGCCACTGCGCCTCCCACCAGCCCCTGTAGCAGCAGCAGCACCTGCTGTGCTCTCGTCCTTGCTACCCCCTGCCACCTTTCTCAGCAGTCCCCCCACACCCTCGCGCCACCCCTCCCGCCGCTCCACGGCTATCCCCAACTCGCTAGCACTGAAAACCTCCCCACCTCCCAAACTCATCCTCCGAGCCAACCGCCTCTCCGAACCACCCAGCCCGGACCTACGTTCCGAGCCTCCTGCCGAGCCTGGCGTTGCAGGCGAAGTAGCAGCAGCGGCGAGGCCCAGGCCTATGGACCACTGACTGAAGCTCTTCCTATGGCGCCCCCCCCCCTCCTCCTGCAGACTCAGGTGCCGCACAAACCGCCGCTCCCCTGTTGCTCCCCCGGCTGCCTCAGGCGCCCCTGCTCGCCCTGCCCCCCAATCCCTGCTTCCCCCCCTCCCAGCTGCGCCCAGACCCCTGCCAGCCAATGGGGAGCGGCCACCTGGACTGGCTGGTGGAGGGGTCCTGGGGTTTGAGTCGCTCCCCGCTGCTGATGTGGCGGCGTCCCAGTGGCCACTGCTCCGTCGGGAGATCCTTTCTTCTGGAAGGCTCAGATTCTTCTGGAAAACCCGCCCTGACCGGCTGCTGCTGCTCCTGTCAATGCTGGTGGTGGTAGCGGCAGCAATGTGAGTTGGGCCGGTGGGGCTGAGGGCAGGTGCTGCCTTGCCAATGCTTCGGCTTGAAGTTGAACCTGAAGGGGGCAAACCAGGCCTGCCAGGCAACCACCCTCCTAGCCCTCCTCCTCCCCCTCCTCCTCCCGCTGCCCGCCTTCCTCCCTCCACACCCCTGCCCTCCATGCCCCCCGCACCTCCACTGCCCCGCTCCTGCAGACTCAAGTGCCGCACAAACTGCCGCCCTCCCACGCCCCTCCCACCACCATCTCCCGCCCTAGCCCTAGCATCACCCCCCTCGCGTCCCCCCTCGCCCCCACGGCCCCCCTGCCCCACGGACTGCTGCAGCACGCCTGCCCCGGCGCCTGCTCCCCTAGACCCCCAGGGGCTGCCCTGCCTGCTCACCCTCTCCTGCTGCCAGCTCGCATGCTTCACCAGCGCCCTTCCCCCCGCAGCCCCACTGCTGCCCATGCCCCTGCCACTACCACCAGCACCACCAGCAGAACCACTCGCAGCAGCAGCAGCAGCAGCAGCAGCAGCAGCAGCAGCAGCAGCAGCAGCAGCAGCAGCAGCAGCAGCAGCAGCAGCAGCAGCAGCAGCAGCAGCAGCAGCAGCAGCAGCAGCAGCAGCAGCAGCAGCAGCAGCAGTAGCAGTACGTAAGGGACCGGGAGCAGCAAGGGCAGAGCTCCCAACACCATTCCCTCGCCTGCTGCTGCTTTGGCTGTCAGCCTCCCCCACCCTCCGCCCACTGCTGTTGGCACTACCGCCACCACTCCCACTGCTGCATGATTCCGACCATCCCCCTTCCCCACGCCTCTCAACCACCCGCTCCAGCCCCTTTCCCCCGTCCATCCCCCCCATCGAACCTACCCCCGAGCCTCGGATCCGAACCAGAGGCTTGGCGGCGGCGCCAAACCTCCTGGACCCTCGCTCCGGGCGGCCCACCCCGCCCCCTGCTGCGAGGGCGTCCTGCATCCTCGCCTGCTCCAGCTGCCGCCGCTTGCGCCGCCAGTTCACCAGAAACGAGCTCGACGCCCTCACATCCGCCTCCCCTCCGCCCCCTTCCGCGCCCGCGCCATCCCCCCCAGCTCCCCCCCCTGCTGCCAACCCATCCCCCGCTCCACGTCCCCCCTCGCCTGAATTGAGGCGTCCCAGCCCACTGCGGCCGAATGCCGGGTCTGCAGTCTTGGGGCGGCCAGAGGATGGCGTGCCGGGGACACTCCCACTCTCCCCCCACTCCCCTCCCCCTCCCATGCTCCCCCGAGACAGACTCCGCATCCACCCCCCTGTTCCCCCTCCACCGCCCCCCCTCTCCCCCCTGAAGCTGCTCATCACACTCTCCTCGTCCCACCAGCTGCCCACCTCGTCCCGCCCATCACCCCTCCCCATCTCGCTCCACCCATCCTCACTCCACCACCCGTCCATATCCGTCTGCACCGAGCCCACGCTCGTGGCCCGGCCGAGCCTGCGCTTCATGCTCTTCCACGACCCCAGACCCGCACCAGACCCTATCCCCGAGCCTATCCCCGAGCCTCCAGCAGGGCTGGCAGCAGACGCAGGGGCGCCGAGGCTAGAAGTCCAGCTGCTGCCCCCGGCAGCACCGGCAGCAGCGGCTTCACCAGCAGTAGTGAGGCTGCGGGATGGGGGGAGGAAGGACTTGGGAAGCATGGAGGGCGCTTGGCCACTGCCCAGGGCTTCATCGTACTCAGGGCTGGAGAGAAAGCCATGCTCCGTGGTGCTCAGACTCATGGGGAAGGAGCGTGGTACCATCGACACCCTGCCCTTGCCCTTGCCCTTGCCGTTGCCTCTGCCCTGATGACTGCTCTTGCTGCCGCTGACGAGGCTGCGGCTGCTGTCGCTGTTGCTGCTGCTGGTGTCGCTGAGCGAGTCGAAGTCAGGCAGGGCTGAGGATGCCAGGGTTGTGGTGGCTTTTGAGGTGGGTGTACCAGGGGCGGACGCGACAGGGGTAGATGCAGCAGGGGCAGAAACAGCAGGGGCAGCAGGGGCATGAGTAGGTGTAGCAGGGGAAGGGCCTGAGTTCTTCCCGACAATCCTCTCCCATGCGGCTGCTGCGCCTGCTGCTCGTCTGGCGCTGTCCCCTTGCACATAAGCCTCACTCGCATCTTGTTTGCTTGCTGTAGCTCTCTCCCTCCCACTTCCTCTCTCCTTCCCACTCCCCTTTTCCTTTCCACTCCTTCTCTCCCTCCCGCTCCCTCTCTCCTTCCCACTCCCCCTCTCTTTACCACTCCCCCTCTCCTTCCCACTCCCTCTCTCCTCACTCTTCCCCCCACCCCACCCACTGCCACTCTGCGCAGACCCCCGTCCCCCGCGCGCCCCCTCCACCTGCGCCCTCCGCCTGCGCAGCACCTCCTCTCTCCGCCGCCTCTCCTCCTCCGTCTCCCCCTCGCTAGAACCGCTCTCACTACTATCATCAACCTCGTCCGCCCCCACCAGGTCAACGGGCTTGCGTGTCAACCCCCCTGCGCCCCTCCCCCCGCCATGCGCGCGCTGCTGCTCGTTCCCACTCCTACCCCAGCTGCCGCTCCCACCTGCGCTCCCCGCCCCCCTCTCAGAGTCTTCCCGCCTCGCCTCGCCAGCGAGCCCCCACTCGTCATCCTCGTCATCATCAAACCAGTCCGCGGCAGTTTTGCGCACAGGGACCTGCGCGCGTGCTCCCTCCTCTTCCGCTTCCTCTCCGCCTCTCCACCCGCTCCCCCGCGCATTTCCCCTGCTGCTCTGGCCCTGCTCTTCCCCCGCACGCCCCCCAACGCGCCCTTGCTGCTGCTGCTTCGAGGCACGCGCTGCTGCACTATTAGCAGCGCTGTGGGAGTGGTGGATAACCACGCTCTCCGCCTCGCTCCACGCGCCCCCTGTGGTCACCGTGCCTGACTCGCTCCACACCACCACGCTGCCCCCCTCGCTCCCAGGCACGAAACTGCTCTCGCTGCCCTCCCCGTCCCCCTCGCTCTCCCCCCACTCCCCCTCCCCCGCTCTTCCCCACCCGCCCTCCTCCGCGTGCCCTTTCCCTGCGCGTTCCTCCTCCTCCCACCCGTCCCCAGCATCTGCCCCTTCCTCTTCTTCCCCATTACCCAGAAACTTCCCTTTCACGTGTCCCAGTATCCTGGATAATCGATTCTTTACATGCTTTCGCAAGCCAATGTGCGGGATGGGGGACGCTGACCTGGCGTCGCCTGATTGGTCGACCGCCATTTCATCCTCATTTTTGCGACCCTGAACTTCCACAAAGCTAGGCCCGGGAATTGAGGAGCTCGCCGAGCCTGTGCTCTCGGCTCGGCTGTGTGACCGAGGCACGCGCCACCACGACTGCGCCAGGTTCGACGGCGACCCTGCTGAGTCAACCCTAGCGAGACCGCTCGTGTCGGAAACGAACAAGACATCGCGCGCTTCGGGAGATTCCCCAGAATTCCAAGGTTTCACGGCGGCGCGGTTGCTTCCATCATCGTGAGCGGCGAGCAATCGCTCGTCGCCTTCGAAGGACATGTCGCTCCATGACCGCGACTTCTTCCTCCTCCCCTCCTTCCTCCGCTCGTCTTTACTTCCTCCATCGCCATCGCGTCCTGATTTCCCCTTCTTCCTTCCCCCTTTCTCCCTGGCTGTCTCATCCTTGACTATCCGGCCAGATACCGTCGGCTCTACATCCCCTTTAAGACCTGACGCTTTACTCGCTAAAGGTCGTCGGCTACTTCCGTCGGTCCAGCCAGTGAGCGCCTCCTCGTCATCTGACGACAGCAACCCGCTGTCTGCCGGAAAATTCCGGCCGTCTGTAATACCGGTCGACGTCTGACGTGACGGTGTGGTTGGACGACATTCTGAGCGCGACGGCGTACGAAACATGCCTAAACATGCATGGACGTTTGCTGAGTACAATCCCCGATCTAATGCCACAAGACCATACAAACTACCAGCTTTGATTCGAATAAGTGAGAAAGACCTAATTTCAGATGAACTGCGTGTGGTGGAGACGAGACATGGACGAGAGGTGAACAGGTGGAGTGGCGAAGCCTACTTGGAGGTAGTGTCCTGTACTGTGCGCTATGGCGGTTTTCACTCCCGACCCGATTTTGGTTGGAGCAGAGTGAAGTCCCCAATCAGGAAATCTTGAATTTGAGCTGAAGTCAATTTCATCATGGGTGTTATACCAAGCAATAGGGTTACAGTGCGTTTCTGCACGATTTTCTGCGGTGCCTCAGAGATGCAGCCTGCCCAGAGGTTTGCTGTTTCAGCAGCAGCAGTGCAGGCGTTCAGGCCAGCAGATTGGAAACGGGCAGAAAATAATTGAACCTCTCGCATGCTGCAGCATTTGCTGGCAGGCGTGCAAATGATTGATTGCTGCTCGCTATGGCGGCGGGAAAAGTTATGCGCCGCGATTGGCTTGCCCGCACTAGGCGTGTGCAAAGTGCGCAAAAACTCGGCGTCGAGCAACGTTGGTGAATTTCCACCCTCGGATCAAAGGTTCCAACCGTCAGGATTCACCGACGTTCCTCGACGTCGAGTTTGTGCAGCACTTTGTACACGCCATAAAAACACCAGAACTGCCGACTGTTTGGAAGAACGTGACCCAGGTGATGCTTTGTGATTGGTGGAATGTTTTTCGCGAGTAACGCACATGCCCAGCGGTTTCAATCATGTTATAGGAGAATTCGACCTTCTTTTAGGAGCCATTTTTTCGCAATTGTCATATAAATTCTTCTTTTATGTCCGTAAGTCCATCAAATTGAATCGAATGAGATATTTTTAGAGGTGGTGAGGTGATATCAACGCGGAGGATGAGGAAAGGACTGATTTATTGTAAAAGGACATATAACAGCATACCATTTAGGATATGGGATAGTGCTGGTTCGATTGGGCAGTTTTACAACAGAACACTCCATCCCCTCCACCCCAATGTGATTCTGTTTCGTCCAAGATTTCCGGGTACAGCCTCCTATGATTAGAGAGATTCCGCCAGGTCATCCCGTACCACACGCAAATCCGTGCCACGCCACAGCCTACAAGAAAATCAAACAATTCCCTGGGAGTCTTTCCGTCGCGAAGAAGGAAGATAGTGGTTCGCGAAGAAGGTCGCATTCGTTTAGAGTCGAGCGCTGGTCGCAGCTGTCGCTGCTCATCGCTCGAATGAAGGTCGGTTTTGCATAATGGTAACCAGATGGACTTGTGGTAGCAGACCGTTCGCAGCGTCACCTCACCCAACCATACCTGCCCTTCCGAGGCAAGAAAGCCGGAGGGGTAAAAAGGAGCTCTCGAGAACACCAGACACAAACAGGAGATACCATTGACTCAGACTAGGCAAGAAGACTAGTTTGTGTCTCGTACTACAGGCCTTCTCTGGCGTTGCTTCTTTCGGCAGCGGCAGTACCATCGACATTACCGGCTACTTCGGTGACTAATCAGTTCTAAGACAGAGCCATTGCCCTGTCAATCGATCAATTCCTGGCGTACAGGCAATACTTTATTTGCTTCTGTTTGCGGGCCACTTCATATATTGACCAGCCATTCCTTCGTAAAGATGTGGAGATTCTGTGCCACGAGGCTTGCGACGACCGCAACTAGATCGCCGTCGTCGCGTTCATCACTGCATCGCGACAATGCGCGCGTTGCGCTATACCTGAGCCCCAAAGTCGTCCCTTACCTCAGCCAGATCCACCGGCCGTTCTCCTCAGACAGCTCAGAAGACAAGGTCCGTTGTGCACAGCACCCCCACCCGAAACGCCGCACCGATGGCGAGGGATCAGCAATTGCGATATCTTCAGTATAGCATTTTTTTATCATACCTTCAAGAATGCTCCGTGCGACTCTTTCTCTTCGTCCGACTCTCTTTCTCTTCGTTTCACGCGGCAGCTGTTCAACAAGCTGTTGGTGGCGAATCGAGGCGAGATCGCATGTCGCATCCTGCGCACGGCGAAGAAGCTGGGCATCCCCACCGTCGCCATCTACTCCGACACCGACATCGAGGCTCCCCACGTCCGCCTCGCCGACGAGGCCGTGCACGTCGTGCGTCCCTCTTCCCTTGCCTCTCGTCCCTCGTCCCCGCCCCTCCTCCCTCGTCCCTCGTCTCTCGTCTCTCGTCGCTCGTACATCTCACGACCACTGAGAATTCAGACATCTCAAATGTATCGATTATTCAGTATTGCGTAGTATTGCTGATGGTCCGCCGAATCGGACTGTCCATCCAGTCCTGCATCCGCTCCCCGCATTCACCAGCCTCGTCTCTCGAGTGCTGTCGCCAGCATGCGTCATCTTCACCATTTGCATCCCTCGTTCCCGTGTTGCGTGGCGTGTGCGACGTGCAGGGACCGTCGCCGGCGAACGAGAGCTACCGCAACGTGGAGCGAGTCATGGACGCCGTCATCAAGGCCGGCGCCGACGCCGTGAGTGCCGCCGTCACCGCCGCGCTGCTGTCAGATTGTATCGTCGAACCAGTTCCAAATGCGCTGCGCAGCGGTTATCATCGGACGTAGCAGTGGGTGTGCCATGGAATTGCAGTAGCCTCGTAACGCACACACTCTACAGAGAGAGGAGTTTTCTTTCAGATATGTGGTGTAACCGGATTCTTATCTGCCGTTTCTCTCTCCCCTGCTGCGCCGCGACGCGGGCACGCGCAGGTGCATCCGGGGTACAGCTTTCTGTCGGAGAAGCCCGAGTTCGCGGAGAAGCTCAAGGCGCAGGGCGTCACGTTCGTGGGCCCCACGCCTGAAGTCATGCGCCTCATGAAGGACAAGGTGAGCGGCACACTACGTCATATCGCACACAGACGGAGGTAGGGTCACATGTCGTATGACAAGGTGAGGAACCACATCGCGACCTATCAAGCGTACGGGTCGAGGTAACACTCGCCCTCCGCGTGTGCGCAGCACACTCGCACGCTGCGCAATGCCTTAATGAGAGCCTCTCCCTCGCGTGCACTCGCGGGCCTGGAATGGTCAACCCCTGTGCGCCATGCTTGCCCCTCTCTCCCCCGCCCCGCGCAGACGGCGAGCAAGCACGCGGCGGTGGCGGCGGGGCTGCAGGTGCTGCCCATCGGAGATGCCGTCGCCTCCGACGAGGACCACGCCGTCCAACTCGGTACGCCCTCTCCCCCCTCGCCCTCCCCCCTTTTACCCTCCCTCCCCTTCCGCCCTTCCCCCCCATTCATGCGCTCTTCTGACATCCTGAACGGAGGCACTGATTATAACGCCTCATGCCATGTGGTGAATCCTTCTGCTGCCGTGCCTCCACGCTGCGCTGTACCCGCCACCCCCATTGCCCGCCAACCCCCCCACTGCGCGCCACCCCCATTGCCCGCCAACCCCCCCACTGCGCGCCACCCCCATTGCCCGCCAACCCCCCCACTGCGCGCCACCCCCATTGCCCGCCAACCCCCCCACTGCGCGCCACCCCCATTGCCCGCCAACCCCCCCACTGCGCGCCACCCCCATTGCCCGCCAACCCCCCCACTGCGCGCCACCCCCATTGCCCGCCAACCCCCCCACTGCGCGCCACCCCCATTGCCCGCCAACCCCCCCACTGCGCGCCACCCCCATTACCCGCCAACCCCCCCACTGCGCGCCACCCCCATTGCCCGCCAACCCCCCCACTGCGCGCCACCCCCATTGCCCGCCAACCCCCCCACTGCGCGCCACCCCCATTGCCCGCCAACCCCCCCACTGCGCGCCACCCCCATTGCCCGCCAACCCCCCCACTGCGCGCCACCCCCATTGCCCGCCAACCCCCCCACTGCGCGCCACCCCCATTGCCCGCCAACCCCCCCACTGCGCGCCACCCCCATTGCCCGCCAACCCCCCCACTGCGCGCCACCCCCATTGCCCGCCAACCCCCCCACTGCGCGCCACCCCCATTGCCCGCCAACCCCCCCACTGCGCGCCACCCCCATTGCCCGCCAACCCCCCCACTGCGCGCCACCCCCATTGCCCGCCAACCCCCCCACTGCGCGCCACCCCCATTGCCCGCCAACCCCCCCACTGCGCGCCACCCCCATTGCCCGCCAACCCCCCCACTGCGCGCCACCCCCATTGCCCGCCAACCCCCCCACTGCGCGCCACCCCCATTGCCCGCCAACCCCCCCACTGCGCGCCACCCCCATTGCCCGCCAACCCCCCCACTGCGCGCCACCCCCATTGCCCGCCAACCCCCCCACTGCGCGCCACCCCCATTGCCCGCCAACCCCCCCACTGCGCGCCACCCCCATTGCCCGCCAACCCCCCCACTGCGCGCCACCCCCATTGCCCGCCAACCCCCCCACTGCGCGCCACCCCCATTGCCCGCCAACCCCCCCACTGCGCGCCACCCCCATTGCCCGCCAACCCCCCCACTGCGCGCCACCCCCATTGCCCGCCAACCCCCCCACTGCGCGCCACCCCCATTGCCCGCCAACCCCCCCACTGCGCGCCACCCCCATTGCCCGCCAACCCCCCCACTGCGCGCCACCCCCATTGCCCGCCAACCCCCCCACTGCGCGCCACCCCCATTGCCCGCCAACCCCC